TCACACTGTGTGTGTGAGTGTGAGAGAGGATTCTCCCACACATACAAACCTCCACCCTAATGTTTATAACCCTTAGCAAGACAACAACTATAAATTGGGTTGCAGGAAGGATAGTTATATTAGGAAGGAAACTGTGGGTGTGGGTGTGTGTGCGTGTGTAGGTGTGTGCGTGTGTAGGTGTGTGCGTGTGTGTGTGTAGGTGGGAGGAAGTTGATAAGAAGATGGGAGGGAATGACACGTGTGTCTGTTTAGAGGATTGGTATGCTATTCCAACTACAACATCAAAATCATGACTCTGAATGCTCAGTAAGTAATCACTATCAGCATCCTCTTCCTCTGTGGTGTTAAACTCCCATAATGCGTTAAGATGAGATCAGCTCATCATAATGCATCCTCGTGATGAAAAGCCACAGACACCACCGTTTCCAACTAAGTCTCATCAGTGCATTCTGCTGTGTGTCAAACACCGATAACAGTCAGAGGTCAGTGCAGGGAAGGAGGTGTGTAAGCAGCTACACATCGCCCTCTGTAGGACTGAAAACTTTGTCTCAAATCCCAACCAGAATCTTCCAATAGGGTAGTGGAGAAACCGTTCTGTTAGATGTATTTTAAGATCATCTACTTTATATCTTGTCCTCAATAAATAATGCATCATACATAATAACAGTCAATAACATTTTAAGCAGCTCTGAGCTCTGTCTGATGGAGGCTTGATAGCTTAAAGCAATACAGGTTTCATCTATAATGTAATGTCCAAATCTCACCAATAGAGGTCAATACAGATCAGATTACTTAAATTGACCTGATAAAAGTAAATAATGTTCTTTACTTCTATGTGATTAAAGATAAAGGCTTGAAAATGAAGACCATTTAAGGCATTATTTTTATTTGAGGTTGAATTTCATGTTGTAGTATTTTCTTTACTGCTGAACTATCAAACATCACAGCTGGACTGGGTCCTGGCAGGCTTCCCTAACTACATAATGATAGAAATCCATCCAGTCAGGCCAGTCTGTAGCATGGGAACTACAATACCCGCACACTTTAAGTTAGAGCAGCAGTTTGTGTCACTTCGGACTACACTGGGTTTTAAAATGTATGTAGAAAACAGAATGTTGTGGCTGGACCTCTCTGGTTGTTACACCCATTAACTTAAGTGCATTTATGTACAATGCACCATGAAGAACATGCTGAGCCATTTGCACAGTTACACCAGAGCAATGAAAAAGATGATCATTATTATTGAAAGCCAAGCCAAAAACTTTATCAGGTTTGTCCTTCCTACCTTTCCCCGAGCTGAAGAAGCAGTCCATCTCCACGCTGGAACGCGAGTGGGACACGCAGAGTGTGGAGCTGGGAACCAGTCCCTCCTGGGGTGGGCTGCGGTCGGTGGTTCGGACCAGACACCAACCGGGCCGCTCACTGGGCCGCTCCAACAGCTCCACCGTCTGACCTGGACACAAAAGCAAACGGATGTTTTACAGTGTGCTAACTGGAGAAAATCTCATTTGCCTAATTTTACGAAATGTTTTAGGTAACAATGTTATGTATTGCAGTTTCCAATTGCAATCGTTTTCTTGAAACTTTAAACATACTACTAAACTGAATCTTAACTGAGCAAGATCAAGTTTAACCCCATATACCTATGATCTATGGATTTAACTTCTAAACTCAGACTATAACAGAACAGAATAAACAGTGAACCAGTAGATCCCTCCAGACTACAATGTGTCAACAGTGCAGAGAGGTTTGTCTCACCGGTGCTGACAGACATCTCCGTGCTGCATCCTGCTGTAAAGTCCTGAAGGACGACTGTCAACTCACAACCACCAGAGAGCTGCAAACAGAAAGAGAGGAGACATTTGATAAAACCTTTCAGATCTTAAGACATCACCAGCATAACAATAAAACAAAGTGCTTTATGACGACATAATGTTTGTGTGTGTGTGTGTGTGTGAGGCAAAAATACTTTGAGCCTCAAAGAATCTGCTGCATGGTTGATGGTTTCTCTTGGAAGAGAATCTTAATCCAGCTCCGAGTCAGGATGGACCATCAGTGTTTACATAATAAATGCTGAATATTTCCATACAGAATATGATTGAAGTGCATAACTAAACTTGTACTGTACTTGATGTTCATGTCCATGTAACTCCAACATGAGCGCAACAGGTTTGCAGAGCCTAAAGGTGAACGTTCAGCTGAGTAAACCCAGCAGCCGCAGTTTGGTGTTTGCAGATATAAATTCTCAGCAGGCTGAAGGAACAGGAGGAACCAGCAGCATGTGGGCATGTATTCCTGACTTCTCTTTAGTTTTAAAATAAACACTGAACCTAACGAACAGGGAAAGAGCCGAACTGAACATGAGTAAAAGCTGTGAGAGTGTGTACAAAATCAGCCGAGGGCAACACGGTGTGTGTTTTTACACTCTCTGTTGCCACAATCATTTCCACGCAGTGCAAACTTGAACCATCTCTTGACCTGGAAATGAGTCCACTTTCATAGAAAGACAGCAGGAGGGAGGGTGGAAATGGATGCAAATTCAAGTGAAATGCATTTTCTTGAGGACTAAGCTCATCAGTGAGATCAATATCACGTCTGTAAAGGCAAAGATTACATTATGCAACCAGTATGATGTAATCAATATAAAGATCTATAGCTTAATTCCCCGTTCATGACAACTGTACGGTGGGGTTCATTTTATACAACTCACCCATTTAAATTATATTAAGGTTTAAAGTTAAGCATAATTAAGGGCATGGTTGCTTTGAATGATAGGTGGGTGCTGTTACAGGTGGCTGGTTTCAGCAACTAGGCTTCATTAAGCTCCACCCACGTGCCACGTTATTGCTGACAGTCTACACTAAATACATAAACTGGCTTTACAATTGAACTTAGATGTGGGTGTGCTGCGATTTCAGAGAAATCATCTCAAGCAGCAGTTGTAAATATTATCAGAGTTAATGACTGACAGGAAGTGAGGAGGACACGTAATTTACAGTTCCACAGGAAGACAGTGCATGCGTGCAATTGTTTTTCTTTATCTCACACACACACACACACACACACACACACACTTGATAGTGGTACAGCTAACGTCATATTGCTGAGGTGTATTGACCTTTACTCCCATTAAACTGAAGCACCATATGAGCTGAAGTCCCAACATATCAATACACATATACAGTAAAACAACCACACAGACATGTAAGGCACAAATAGAACAGATAATGTTGGTCATGGTATAAAGTCAGCTGATTGAAATGAAAAGTTGCAGGGGAAATGCATGTTAACAAAAAACAAACAAACAAACAGACACAGTGATAAAGCATCCTGTACTGCTCTGACCTGGACTGCTGTGTACTGTAGAAACACTGTCAGCTGAGGACTGCATGGCTCACTGTGGAGTGCATTCTGACCTCTCGCTCATCAGCAGGCAGCCGTCACACCGGCAACACAATTAAACTGAGCTGCTGTTTCGTCTGAATTTGTAGATTCAGGTGATTAAGCCTGGGAACAAATTGGGTCTTGCTATTTTTTATAATATTACAGCAGTGAATCAACACTAAAAGCACAAGATCAATCCATATGTAAAGGCTCACAAGTGGCTGTAAACAAAGCTATTTCCTGCTCCAACTTTCTTCTCTTCCTTTATCTGCCTTGTCTGCTCTACACTCATTGTCTTGGAAAATGTCAGGGAGCTGGTGCGCTAATGTGTCTTTGCCAGGCTAAAGATCTCCTAGCAACAAGGACCCCTGTTTCTATAAAGGTGCAGGTGAGTTTTTACCTGACAGATGGCCACACACACACGCACAAACACATATCAAAAGACCCTGCAGCCCCACGCAGGTGATTTCACTTATTCTGCCTGATTAGACCTCTGCTCAGGTTGAAGGCAGAGCTATGATTTGGATTATGACCTCAATAACCCCCCATGTACTATTAGGAATTTGCTTCGCTCCACTTGGTTGCAGCTGCGAGCTAAAACCCAACACTGTCATTCATTTGAAAGGAGCCAGTCCACTGTGTTGGCCAATCAGATACATTTAGTATCCTACAGTTTACCTCAAAAGAGAAAAGAGTTGCCAATGATTTGTAAAATCCTATCTGAGAATTACAACCCACTGTGCTTATGGCATCTGCAACAACGCATTACTGTGTCGCTCCAACTGGACTTCCTGGATTGTATTTCATTATCTCTCTGGTACCTTAACCAGCATGCTCTCAATATAAGCCCTGTTTACACCTTTATTGGCCCCCATTATTGTTAAAGCTGGGGTAGGCATGCCTCGTAGGGTTCATGCCTCGTAGGGTTCATGCCTCGTAGGGTAGGGTTCATGCCTCGTAGGGTTCATGCCTCGTAGGGTTCGCTCCCCTCCAGAGCTTCGTGAACCCGGAGGCAGCTCTGGCACCGTCTAACAGCGGGATGAGAGGATGGTCCAGACATCCTTTTCCACTAGCTCAGCAACCACCTCAGTGGTGAGGAGCAAGACACAGCAGAGATTTCTCGAGAGGGGTCATATTGTTGGACTGTCACACTGAATCAGGCTTTTACCTATTTTTGCATTTGTAGAACAGCCAAAAGGAACGTCCTTTCTGAAATGACCTTTGATTGGCCAAAGTCTCCCATGACAGAGCCAAGAGGAGGTGTCATTCCAACCACTTGAACTACAACATGCTGAACGTTTTTTGCCCACCAAAAGAGTAAAAAAAATGTACCCTAGCTTTAATTACGCAAAGGCTGTCCACGCCTGTCTGTGCAGTCCTGAGCAGAGGTCTAATCAGGCAAAGCAAGTGGAAACACCTGCGTGGGTAGACTATAACTGTAAGAGCTAAACACAGGTTCCCTGGATGTCACCAACAGCAACATCTGGAGCAAGGTTGCCCAGTGGTTGCAGATGTTGGAGCTCAGTGGGAAGCTAACAATGGCATGGTTCACTGTCCATCCTTCATCTATAAAATGTAAAGGATTGCTTATCAGTCTATCAGACTAGCCACCATCCTAGTGAGCTCTCCAACCTGTCTGTATTTGCTGTGTGTTTCAAGACTAGGAAATGTGATTTAAACCACAAAGACACATGTGGTCCTTCCGTTGATGCTAAAATCAATTGAATCAACAAATTTGTAGGGTGTTTTTTAATGTTGTAAATATATGCATGAATACAAAATGAACGAGGTTTTGATATCTATGGTCAGCAGATAGAAATTAGTCATTTTATCATAAATTGTTACATTAAGTGTAGTAAACTGTGGGTGTAAAAAGAAGTCAGCTAGTTTTCTCAAACATTTTCATAACAGCGAAAGTCATGAAAAAACAGGCAGAACCTACCAACAGCACCCACAGACAATACTATTTTCAGTACCACTATAATCTGACAGTCTGTTTTGTTTGTGTGTGTGTTGAGGGTGTGTCTTGTGCTCTACTGCTATCTGTCATATGACCCATTTGTGTGTACCGAAAACACATACGCATGCTCGCACCAGCTTGTGATGGTCATATGTTAGAGCAGAGGAAGACAGCCTCAAGCAGAACAAATATGCTTCACCTCCTTCAACAGCAGAAAAAATGAACCTGTTGAGATCAGGAAACTTCATGTCATTCCCTGGATACCAACTTATCCTGTAAATGACATGGATGATTTTCTTTTTTGGGGGGTTAATTAATCTGCTTGAATCTGTGTTCATAGCAGCCTTTACTTATCACTAGCTATATCAGTGAAACAAAGCTAATAAATACTGAGCTTCCTTCAAAACGCACAAAAATATCCCAATGAGGGCTTTACAGAATTGAGTTTGACTGTTAATTTAAAAAGCTCTCAGCTTGTTTAGGCTTTGTGAGTGAGGATCAACTGGCTTGTTGCAGAAACTAATTTTGTCTACTGTACACCGTAAGAGCAGTCTGTGAAGTTTGTAGGAGAAATTATGATGGCATTATTATGATGGGGCTACTGTAGAAACATGGTTGTAGATAACAGCTCATTCTACATTAACGCAAAAACAACAATTCCTATTTTCAGGTGATTATAGATTAAT